CCACCCTTCCTCCCTCCCTCCGCGCACTCTCTCACAAAACCATCAGCCAGGCTCACGCCTGCCATTTCAACCAACAGGCTGCCACCCATCACTGGCATTTCCCCCGACATCTTTGCCTGCTGGGAACGCCCCGTTAAGAAGAGTTCCCCTCTCACAGAAACCATCCCCTTTTGCAGCTGTTTTACACCCCTTTCTGTGGCCATGCCCCCCCCCACCACCACCAAAGGGTGCTATCCTGTCAGGAAGAGCTGGGCATTCCCTAAGGCAAGAGCTCAAGCCACATGAGGGTGCTGTGGCTCTGTCCTGAGGGGGGTGGGGGGCACTCGTAAGAAACCCTCCCAGGTCTTCACTTTCCTTCTGCTCCAAACGTGGGCACCTCCGGCTCCCGAGCCCCTCACTGAATACGACTACCGGCCGCCCCTTACCAGGAAATCCTCAGAGCCCCCTGGACCCAGAGGCAGGGGGGGCAGCCCTTCCATCAGCCCTCCAACCTTGACACGCGCAGGTGGGGAGAGGAACCCTCACGGACCCCCCCCTGCCCCCCCGGACCAACAAGAGGGCCGTAAAGGGCTCCTCTTGGCGGTCCTTGCCAGGCGTCCCTCCATGAACCGGGCGATCCGTCTTCAGAAGCCTTAGAAGGACACCTGGTGTCGGTTGAAGGAATAAACCTTTCCTCCCGTGGATCTGGCGGCTTTCAGGGCCATTTCTCCCTCTCAGTAACTGTCCATCATCTTCCCCAGCCCCCAGTTCAAAATGTGATTTCCACTTCAGGATCACAGGTTTAATTAAGCCCACTCTTGATCAAAGGGAGGGGGAAGGGAACAACACTTTAAAAATGTTGGCCTAAGAAAAATCCTTCCACAGCTGAATCCGGGGGGATTGGTTGAGCCGACTCCTCTGTACGTTCCACTGATTCCAAGGGGCCTACTCCAGTGCAACCTATTGCGCTAAGCAACGGGAGTTCAGCCCGCATGCCTGTCAAAGGGAGTATGGATGTCGGACTTCGTGAGTCAGCGTGAAGTGTGCCTTTTAAAACCCCACTTTGGGCGAGAAACTCCCCTGCCTTTTCCAAGCTTTCGGTGGCCAAGCTGAGCACGAAAGCGGAAGGCTCGTCTCCCTCCTGAGAACGCCTGCCAGCAAAGGACGACAGGGGAGAGACCCTAGAGGTCAGGTGAGCAGTTACGTTTAACACCTATTTAGAAGCAGTGCTCTCTCAAAGGGCGAAAAATGACTCTTTTTTTGTCCTACCCCACTTGCTTTTGCCTTTGGCTGCCCTTCGCTTTGTGCACTGGTCCGTGCAAAGGAAACATGGCCTTAATGGGCAGGTCTGGTTGCTAAGGAACACTGAGGAGGTCCCAATGCTGGCTGCTACGGGGAGAGATGCTTTC